GGAGACAAACTTGAGAAAGAAAGGGCTAAGGGACAGGGGTCTTTCATAGGGACTAGCAATATGGCTCAACAGGTGAAGGAGATTGCTAGTTGCACATGCCTGGTGACCAGAGTTCAATCCCTGGAACCCACATAAAAGTAGAAGAAAACCAACTCCACAGGATTGTCCTCTGACTTCCCCACATGTGCTATGGCAAGTACCCGTGCACATACACAAACACATACACATACACACCACAATAAATAACGCAAAACATATCTAGATGCCTGTTTATATATAACTTGAGCTCCGGGGAGGATATGGGGGAGGATCATGAGTTTGAGGCCGTTCTGAGCCATATGGACCCTGTCTCAACAACAAAGAATTCAGTCTAGTGGGAAACTGATTACATAACACCATAATGATAAGGAAAACATAGTCCCAAAGAGGATACCCTACCCCCATTCCCAGCTTTCATGAGAAAGGGTAAACCATTCCAGAGTTTCAGTTCATCAAGGGAATTGGAATCTCCTGGTTTGCTGGTCTAGGATGCTCAATTGAACATAATTAATACTAGCCTTCCCAGCCTCTCAGGTCTCAAAGCCCAGCTTCTTCCACCTAGCTATAGACAGAAATGTACTCAAGAAAAGCCTTGGTCAAGTGTTTAAAGAGATAGATACAGCTGTTGCCATTTTTTGGGGGGGGCTCGGTCAAGTGTTTAAAGAGATAGATATAGCTGTTGCCATTTGGGGGGGGGGACTGAAGTCAGGAGTCACCAGGGTTTAACCTGAAGCAGGGATCAGGATCATTAAAGACCACACTTGGGAATCTCCCTGAGACACTTGAGGAGAGTCAGCCAGAAGATAAGAGTGAAAAAGTACAAGGCACATGTGGACTTGGCTGCAAACACATTCACTACCTCCTCTTCCAAGTTATGGACAGGACACGTCTCACTGGTTTGGATTTCTGAGATACTGCCTGGGAATGTTCATTCTGGTTTACAGGGGTCATAGAACTGGGGAAAGAACAGATTTACATACCTGCTAGGATGGGGTAATGAACCACTACTTTTGAAGGAATAGAACCAGAAGCCATAGAGATTCAAAAGGTAGAGGACTGATACAATTGTACTTTATATGGGATTTCTGCTATGTGAGTAGAACATAGCTGGTCTGGCCACAGAAACAAAATATTAGTAATGGTTAAGAGGACAGATGTGTCAATTTGCTTTGCTGTAATAACCTGTTAACCATGGATTTTCATCCTATAACATTGTGTTGTACACCTTAAACATACACAATAAAATTAATTAAAAAATGTAACATGGAGAAGTACACACACACACACACACAAGATTGCAATGGCCATAGCAACAAGGAAGGTTCTGGAACCTTGCAAGGAAGAAATGTTTAAAACAGAGGTTGGAAGGGCAGACCTAGGTACTAATCTAATATTCCTTAACTTCCTGTATTGCCTATATCAAATTTAGTTTCTCTCCACCTCTGTTCCTATCTCTACAAACTAGAAAGTAATCACTG